CGAACCCAGCCAAGAAGAAAACGACGCATTGTGACACGATCACTTCCTCGGTCATCACGGGTTTCCGGGTTGGGTCAAGCTTCAAAGCAGCTGCTTCTTTGTCCATTTCTTCAATCATCACGTCAAGCACGTCACCACGTTTCTGTCGACATTAAATATTTGACACTGTTCAGAGGAAGATACGTCAAACGACGCAATCGATTTCAATTGAAACTTGAATTTTCTAGAACCTCGAGCTCGTTGATAAAAGCATTTTTTGTACCGTTTTAAAATACAGGATATAACAGTAAAAGAAAAAAAAATATTTCGAAGGATGAACTGCAGCATTAAATGGTTCAGGTCCTATGCTTTAAAAGATGAATGCTGCAAAGCTTCTCAGGAAAAAATCAGTATGCTTGACTCATGTGTGGGACGATGCAACCGAAGTCGAATTGAACATATATTTATTGTTATTTGAAAAAATCGAAAAAATAATATGAAACGATGCGGGCTCTTCAAAATTAGCTGCAGACGGACAGTTGATCAAACCATGAAAAAGTTTCGTTTAAAAAAAAAATTCTTTATTAATTAAAATCCATGTTAATCTTGACTATTTTACGGAAAGGCTTATCTTGATTTTTTGATGGTAAATGAGGAACAGGGATTGATTTTGGCAAAATTAAAATGGTCTGAATTCACCTGATTCTCTTTGCGGCGAGTTGCGATGATATCCTTTACCAGGTTGGCAAAGAAAAGCACTTCTTCAGCTGGGAAAACTTGAACTCCAAGTTTGGTGATCCAGGGAAAGACTAAAAAATAAAATTTTACAGGCTTATTATTTCACATTCAAAATCATAAAGTAAATTCAAGCCTAGAATGAAATTTGGAACAAATGGGCTCGCCGGAATCCGGTGTGAAATCCAAAAAATTTTGAGGAATTCGAATTACGTTCAAATATTTTATAAGCTTATTGTAATTACCATCAAGCGTGTTTCAAGTATTATAGTCGAGTGTCCTCCAAAATATCAAATGCTTGAAATTGCAGCAATTTGTACTTTAAAAACCCATTTGTGAATTAATTGCTTCAAAAAGGGCACTGATGCAATCTTACGCTTGGCGCCCGTGATAACGTTCGAATATTTTCTCAACAAAGTGTTTTTTGACGAATACCGTATATCATTCAAAACATGTATGAATTTGTCGGTGTACAGGAATTTAATTGCTAGCAATCGATGCTTTGATGTAGCTATAATATTCATTCGAAAAAAGAAAATCTCGCGTGCTTTTTTTTGGCACTGGCTTATTCTTCTCATTCCACTAACACTAGTCTTTAAAATAATTCCCAATGAATTGTCAACTACGTTTAGGAAATGAATTTGTTAATTTTTGAAAAAATTTATTACGTCGAATGAAGAAAAATGCCGTTGTCATTCTCGGAGCATGGAAAACCTTCTGGATTTTGACGATAAATGTATTGTTGGGGTCGTCCAAAGCGTCAATTTTTGTCCCAAAAGCGCAGCTTGCGATAACGTCCATTGTGTAAGACCCAAAAAGCCTTATTTTGAAGAGAAAAATAATGCAATCACTCCCAATATCTATATTCAACTCAAACATCGCTTCAAATTCGCCAATTTAATCTAGCAGTAAAGGCGCATTATACAGTATTTCATTCGCAAAAATTGGTTCTGAAACTCGATGGCGTCTTGGAATTATTAAAATGTTGATCATTCCTTCAAATATTAATCATGACAATTTTGAATTCGAATTTTGACTGTAGGCTATAAGTGTCAGCATAATTTTGGTTCTGAAACTCTTGGATCTCGAGGGGGAGTTGGAATTTTTTTACAGATTATTAATTCTTGAAAAGTATAAAACTTCAAATACATATTGAAATTCGAATTGCGACCAGGCGAAGTGTCAAAATAATTTTTTATTCATCCATGACGAAAAAGATAGATTCAAAATACCCTTCCGCATAACAATGGCATCATAAATATATTTATGAGATTCAAAATATAGAAAAATAATTTTTAATGACTGTTTCCTAAGTTGCAAAATAATGTATTGATATACGTGGAATTCAGGAAATTTTTCGGATATAATTTCCCATAAATATTAAGTCAATTCCCTCCGCAAAAACCATCAAATCAACAGCTAGATACAGGGAAGGAATATATATCCACTGCCTTTTTTATTTTTGAATGGTAGTAAATGACGGAATAAATATGTTTTTCCTTTCATTTCAAAAAGCAGAAAAATCGAAAAAGTCAGAACTTACTTTTTGAGGTCAATTATCCCCTGGTTTTTCGCAGCCCTGTGTTCCGTCAACTTCACCAAGCTTGAGCAACATTCTTCCATCAGTCTCGACATCTATAGTGAACAAAAATAGGAATTAATAAATCTTGGTGGATTTATGCAGAAAATATATTCGGAATAAAATTACCCCCTTGATTTTGCCCGAGGAGAAAACAGGAGACACGCCGTTGCGAACGTCTTTCCATTCTTGTCCGTGAAGCACGAAAAGGAACCTTCTCACGTACTCCTGGTGTTCTGGGATTACAACCTGTGAGGTTCATTTATTTTTAAAGGTCCATTGGAAAGGCAGGGAATTTTTTTATTGAAAAAGTTTGCGTTTTCTGATTGTACCAAGCGGTCGACGAAATTGTCAAATTCCTTGACGGTGATTGCTTTGATGATTTCAGGATCTGCTGTCACATACACTGGGTTCTTTCCTTCGAATGTCCTGTATCAACATTCAAGAAAATTTTAAAGAAATCTTAGTAAATCACCTGGAGATACCGTATTTACTCACTGGAGTACCACTAGCACCTTTTTTCCCAAATTTCAGAAGAAAAGAAGGGGTGAGCATCATAAGCGGGCACAAAATTTTCAAGAAGTTTTAGGAAGTTATGTGTGCATTATACTTGATTATAATGGAGAAATTTGGAGCAAATGAAACAAGAAAATGTTTTTGTACTGGAAAAGTTGAAAATTGATGAGATTTTGGTTCAATTCATGCCTAAAGTATTTTTTTTTTTTAATTTTGTGGTTTCAGATTCACTAAAAATTGGGGTGAGAGTCTTACTTGGGGATAAGCTTTTAGCAAAATTCCCAACTGAAAAACCCTCTGCACGCCTTACTCAAGGGCTTGAGGTACTCGAGTAAATACGGTAGTTTTTTCTTCAAATTTTAAAAAATTACATCATCAAGATTCCCACAGTTCATGCTTTCTCATCATTCACAATGATTTGTGTGTTCTGTATATGTATTTAAAATTAAACATTTGCTTTGTCATCCTTAAGTTCAAGTGTGTCCCAAAACACCTTAAAAATATCTCATGCTCATAGCATGGCTTTTTCCTGATGCACTTTTGCAAGTCTGGTTAGTAATAGTATTGCTCAACAGACCAAATTCTGCATTGCTGTGTCTGGTCATTGGTCATTTATCTTTTGCTCATCCTGGTTCCATTTATGTTTATGCGCTGTTGTCTTGTATCAGTGAGCAAACTAAATAAAAAATGTTGATCAGACAATTATTGTTAATTTAGTTGCTTAACCAATGCTGAGTGCTGACTATAAGTTTGGAGATTTAAATTATATTTTTCACAACTTCTGAAGGAAACACAAAAGTTACTCTGTGAGAGTATATTAGCGTGCTTTCTATTCATACAACTTCATGCAGTATTTCAATAATCAGAAATGATGCAGAGCAACAACAACAAGGCAGAGTAAAGAAAAGTAAAGAAATGGGAATGTGGTTGAACAGAATCACATGCAGCAAGGGGATTCTGAAATAATGACTAGCGGAAAAACGGATTCCAATTTTGCACATACGGTATTTACACAAATTTCTCAAAAAGTTTGGTGTAAAAAAATATAAATTGCTGTACAAAACATTTTTTTTCAGAATAATTTCAGCATTCATGTTTTTTCTTTTCTAGGTAATGAAGAAAAATTCCTCTCGAAACACACTCAAACAGAACGATTGGAGAGAAACAATTTTTAAAGTTGGATATGAGAATTTTCATACAATGCCTGTACAGTGAATATTTTATGCCGATGGCTCTGAATTTTTTTTTCTTTCCGCAGGTCCACTAATCACCAATTAAATACTGTACTGTTATCAAAAATTCTCACCCGTAAATATTCCCCAGCTTCTGAAGTCGGTCTACTTCAATTTTCAGATTATCCTGGATTGAAAATCATTCAAACATACAGAATTACTAAATGCCAAATTTTTCCTACTTCGAAAAACAAGCTGCAACTTACCCGCTTCCAGATTTTCCAAATGTTCCCGACCAAAGGCAAGACGGGTTCAGCAGTTGGGATCCCCTGCTTTGCAAAAAAGTCAAATCCGAAAAAAACGTAGTGCACTAACCACGCCAAAAATGGGGCTGTGAGAATCCATGCTAACGGAATTTCAACCCCGAACAGCAGCATTTTTCAGGCGTTCAAATAACAGTTTATCTTTGGGTTTTCTGCAAAAAAGTATTTCAGAAAATCAAAACATGCCTAAGATGTGTTGATCTGCTAGTTTTAAAAGTTGCGTTTCATAGTACAGTATTTACAAGCTAAAATTTGATTCGAAGCAATAATCGTTCTGATCTGGGTGAACGCAAATTTCAAGTCAGTCGCGTCTCGAAGATTGCTCAAATTGCCCTAAAATGTATAAGATACAGTAATAGGATATTATAGCAATTTTTAATTGTATGCTCTCTTATCAGAAGGCATATTGCGTTTTGGAAATAATTCTTAGCGTTTGTTGGGGAACCAGAACTCGGGCCCAGGGATGTCAGGTCCCAGGACCTGGATTCTGGTCCTGTTTTCCTTTGTGCATGCAGGACTTCTTCCATGCACATTTGTTCCACCAATGACAGGCGAGAAAATAATCCAATGCTTCAGTCAGGTCAGCTGACTAAAGCATTGTGCTAAATTGCATAAAAACCCAGCACTCTTTCACTCCCAATAATCAGTCCTAAAAATTAGCCCTTACAGTAAACTTCCCTCAAAACATTCTAATCCCAATTCTTCTGCTTGAATTCTTGCATTGCACCCTAAATTTTTTTGCAAAAATTTATTGTTTTTATTGAATGTGCGCTGTATTATTGCATTTATTGTGATGCATTATTTTTGTATTGTGTTTGATTGTGATTTATTGTGGACTGTGATTAAACCAGACAAAACTAGAGATATGTAATTAAGGTACCCCCTTAATTACATATTCCCAGCCACAAACCTGCTGATTGCCTTGCCTTAGTATTTCCCACCTTTTCTTCCACTGCGCTATGGTTCAATTATTTATGTTGGGTTGATTAATTCCTCAACAGCGTTCATGGCTAATTTATTGCTTAAATTCTTTACATTATTCAAAATGTGTGACCTGGGTGAGCATTATTGCCAATACATTTTGAAAACCATGTGTAATATGTGTTGAGAATGCTGTCAAAACAATTTTTTTTAACTTTGATCCCAATGATACAAAACTTTTTATCCAGATGTTGGCACAATTAACCTGCTAGGATACATATTTTTGGATATGAACAAGTGAATGATCAAGTGGCTAAATGCTCAAATGCTTTTTGATAAATTCAAAAATAATAATTTTACTTGGTGTCATGGAAATTGATTTTTCAGTGTAGAATCTGACTTGTTCTATCAGACTATCAGCAACTGTCAAGGATATGGTGTTAGTTTTACAGACTATGCGCGAAAGTTGGGATTGTTTTCCAGAGGAAGGGATATTTCAGTTTGACTGAAGGTCACTGAAATGCACCCATGTTGCCTAGGCCTAAGTTGAGAAGAATCCAGGTTGTAGAAACACCTTTGTCTCAGGAAATCCTCAATGTTAATCCTATGCTGCATGGGAATGCATGAAAAATGCAACACAGTATAGAGGGCTTTTTTAGGCAAATTGTTCTGCAGGATTATAAAAACCTATCAGACTTTTTCCCATCTTAGGCCTTGGTTCAAAAATCAGATTTAAAATTTTTTGAAGCTCTTGGGAACACAAATTTTGCAAAAATTCCAACTTTGCTGCACAAGGGTTAATGAGCACGTGTTCCGTCCAACTATATAAGCCCAGAAGGGGTTCAGGAAAGCTTGAAAAATTTCCTTAGGGAAATTAGCAAACTGTCAACATATTCACAAAAATGCTCACTCCCATTTAAAAAATTATTTCAGATAATTGTAAGCACAACCAAAAGAGCAACTGATTGTTTTCCCGGTGCACATTCATAGATGGCGTGAAGAGACCGTGAAGAGACTACTTTTTTTTCTTTTTGCTGCTGAAGAATCTTAGATTATTTTATCAGCTTCAAGAAATTTGTGTACCTCCCTCAACTCAGAAAGATAATATTTATCTCTACTTCAAGTCCCCAGTTGTTAGGATTTCCTGTCTGCAAAATGTTGGTGCATGTTTTGCTTCTTACAGCAAGACTACTGTATATGGAAAGTTGTAAAATTCCATATGCTTGGTATTAATTTTAGGGCACAAAGAATAAAACCATTCCACTAGTGTGTGGTTGAAAATTGACATAATGCTTGTCAGTTGACTGTATCAAAACACTGTCAAAACTCAAAAGGCAAGTCAGTTACGGCCATCTTTAAACTTGAGAGAATCTACTGGGAAATCATCTTATGACAGAAATTACCAATTTATGAGGGGAAAACCAAACAACCCTCAAAACATCAAAGGTCCACTTTTCTTTCATGAATTAATGTTTGCAGTAAAACTGGCTTGAGCCACATTCTTGTAAAATGGTGCAAAATGGGTGGAAACTGGTCCTGATTTTTGAGCATGGAAGATAATTTTAGGCAAATAGCTTCCCCTCATTGAGAAAAAATTAAAAAGCCTGAATAGAGTCTCTTAGCACATCTAACCCTCAAAAAAAGATCATAAAAACCCAGGCCTGGGCTTTGTTGCCTCAGAATACAGGTGGTACCTTTTGTGATTTAACCTGCTGCAATTTTACTATCCTGCAATTTGATGGTTGAATTTGCAGGGAGGTTGACTTACAATTTGACCTCTGGTCAGAATTTGACCTGATTTTGCCACTTTTTTGTATTTTTTCAATGGAAAAGAATTTCCTCTCAGGTTATAAATTGAGGTAATACTTATCAATTTTATGAATTGTCTCGCAATTCAACTCTAGTCCAGTAACAGATTAGGGTCAAATTGCAAGTTGCCACCTGTAATGGTGAAAGGAACATCCAACTGTCAAACAATTTTCACAAGTTTGACAGCAACTAAAACAAATACCCCTGTAAAGAACATATTGTGTGTCAATTGACAGCAAAATTTAAAATTTTCAGCAGAAACTTCTGTCCAGTTATACAGTCAGTCACTTTTTTGTTTTTAGAAAAAAAATGACATAAAAGTGCAAGATAACTAGAATTCTGTATATATAATCCATTGAAAATAATTATTTGTTATTAATTTGAGGAAAATCCCTTCAACAAAATTATAGGAGTGAATAAAATCTTTTTCACTGACACTTATGCAGAACAGTGAATGACATAATATGGTAGCGGAAAATTTAATCAGATATAAGAAGAAACTCACCTATGAAGTTCACTGTATTTTCCAAGTCGCTTCACTTTGATTCACGCGTTATCCTGAGTATGAACAAATAATATTCTACGAATAAGTGCTCAGAAACATTGATCCTGAAAAGCTTTCGTAAATCTCACCTGTTTCCAGAATTTTCAAACGTTGCAAAGAAGAGATAAAATTCTAGTCGAGCATCTCTTACATTACAATGATTAGCAATTCAAATGCATTAACTTCACATTTAGTTAATTCAATTGGTGTCCGAGAAAATATGCCTTCAGATTTTGAAATTTTATAAACAATTTTTCTGTCGGATGTCGAAATATTATTTTCTCGTAGGATTCACAGTGAATCTTACAAGACAAAAGTCACACTTTAATTCATATTTTAAATGGATGGAAATGATGAGATGATGTTGTCAAAATACCGGGAACAGGTTCATAGCGAAGTTTATTTTTCAGAGCATTTTTTTCCTTTCCACTGATGCAGACTTGCCAAATGTTCAAACAAATTCACGCTGGTTACCGGAACTATACAAAACGACCTAAAATAAAATTTGGAAAAACTCTCTGATTCTCTATACGAAATCTCACAGAAAAACAGCGATAAAATGTGATGCTCGTATTTTCCCAAAGAAATATCCGAACTTTCTTGCTCTTCTCTTCTTGTTCACTTCTCACTCCCTTTTGTCGAATTTCACGAACATTTCGACGGGTTGAATCATGAAAGAATTCGACAAGGTTTTGAACGGGACCTTGAAAAAAAGAAAAACGAAAGAAAAATTTCCAGTATTAACTATATTCACCATAAAACGTTGAATGAAGAGAAATAAATGCTTACGTGCGTTTGTTCGCATTTGGAAAGCTTGAAATTGTGCACAATTGTTGCGAGAGCGAGTTTGGCTTCTTCTTGTGCGAATCGCATCCCTATGCAATTCCTGGACCCATTTCCAAATGGCAAGAAGGTGAAGGGTTTGATATTTCCTTTGTTCTCAGGGGCAAATCTGGAAATTTCACATCGATGAATAAATAATACATCGTTTCAAAATCTCATAAAAACCGAATTGCAGGAAAAATTCTCTAAAAATGAATAAAAAATTCATAACAGGAAACTCAAGGTTCTCAACACTGAATTATTTAAAATTTTTAGATCATATTTTCGATTGACATAGAGAAATTCCACAATTTAAAACGAAGCTCAGCCATATATTTGATTTACACCACACTTGAAATCATACCATTACAGATTTATGATTTTTTTTAAAATTTTAATATCGTAATTATGTTGGTACCGAATTTATATTTCTGAGAGTATTATATTCACAAGGCTTATTCAGATTCACTTGTTTCATTTTTTAATGAAAAAATGAAAAGAAACATCAGCTAACATCTGTTTATTGCCATTCGTCGCTCAGATCATATATCGAAACCCCACGAGGAAACCTTCAATTAAAATTATTAAATAATCGGCATTTTATTTTCAGAGTATATTTTCTCACCCAAGATAATTTTTCAAAAGATTAAATACCGTTATTTAATCGAAGATATTTTTTCTTGTTTTATTTTCTCTCGCCTGTCAGGGTCGAATTTCTCGGGATCCGGGAAGTTTTCTTCCAGGTGATGGATTCCGTAGACCGGAACAGTGACAATGTCGTCCTTTCTGAATTTAATTCCTTGAACTGTGCAGGGATGAGTGCACACTCTTTCAAACCTTAGAGAAAATAATAATAATTTTAAAATTCAGAATTAATAAAAAAAAGTTTATAGTGGTTTCGGCGGAACCCACTTCACCGCTGGTGGAGCAATCCTCAGGCTTTCGTTCAGCACTTGGTCCAAATAATGGCATTCTGCGATCATTTCGTGACAGATTTTACCCTGAGAAAAAAAATTATTTGATCACAAAAAATCCTCCAATTGGTCATTTTTTCACTTCACTTGTTTTGGACGAAGTGGTTGAATTATGAAGTGCACACGGAATTGTATTTGAACAAGCAAGCAGACAATAGTCCCAAATTACAATATCATAAATTTCCATGACTAAAAAATATAAGTTTTAACCCAAAAAACAATTTGAGAATTATTTCTCTTTATTCTCCTTAAAAGGGAAGAAGTCTTTAACTACAAGGTTTTCTGTTCCTTTCAGCTGCTTCCTTGTTTTTGTTCCCCCTCTACACGTGTCAACCCGCATTAAAATGTGACAGGCCTATTTATTCTCATTTTGTTTACAATTTGCCATCCAACAACAGTGACATATGACCCTTACTGGTTCTTCCTTCTAAATTAGCAATTTAGAAGGAATGGTTCTTTTGAATTACCATGTGTGATTGTACAAATACATACTTTTGTGACTGAATATATTTGAAAGTTTTTAAAGAAGAATATATTTGATTTCCTCAGTCCACAGACTGTAAACAAAGTGCATCTCGTCAAGCTATTTTCCCTGTCTAGCCCATGAAAAATTTATTTGGCAAAGCTCAAAGTTGAAGGAATGATGGGAAAAAACCCGTTCACATGGAAACATAAAAGTCCAAACAAACAGTGATAATTCAGAAGGCAATTTTAATTAATTTTTCAGGAGCGGGTTATTGAAAAAAAATTGTGGAATATTCAGGAATAAATTCGAAACAAACCTCGAATTTCTTCATCGTCGACCGGATTTCGTCGAGGCACTTCTGCTGTACTTCCGGGTCCAGTGCCAGGAAGTGACAGCACATGGACAAGGCAGTTCCGGTGGTGTCGAACCCAGCCAAGAAGAAAATGACGCACTGTGACACGATCACTTCCTCGGTCATCACGGGTTTCCGGGTTGGGTCAAGCTTCAAAGCAGCTGCTTCTTTGTCCATTTCTTCAATCATCACGTCAAGCACGTCACCACGTTTCTGTCGACATTAAATGTTTGACACTGTTCAGAGGAAGATGCGTCAAACGACGCAATCGATTTCAAGTGCTACTTGAATTTTATAGAACCTCGAGCTTGTTAATGAAAGTATTTTTGGTACCTTTTGAAAATACACGATATAACAGTAAACGAAAAAGAGATTTCGAAGGACGAACTGCACCATGAAAAGGTTCAGGTCTCATCTTTTAAAATATGAATGCCGCAAAGCTTCTCAGGAAAATAACAGTATGCTTGACTCAACATTCAAGGATTTTTTCAAAATTTCAGGATTTTTCAAAGGGTTCAAGTGCATATTTGATTTCGTGCAGTAGAATTTTTTTTTCGAAAAAAAATATAAATTACAATTGATTATATATAGAAGAAGTCCTTTGTTACTGTTGTGGGTAAAAAGCAATTTCTGTGGAAGAACAGCCCTAAAAATTCCTGCAATCATTTTCTCATCTTGACAAAGTTTGGATCAAGACTTAAGAATTATACATAGCACAACAAGTTTACTCCCATAATAATTTTGTCCACTGGAATCCTTATATTCTTGGGCAGAGGGCAGGTTTAAAGCAGACTTTTTCTTTGTTTTTCAGACATTTTTCGCGGAATTAATTACGTGTTAGGAAATTATTACAGGTATTTATCCAAGATAAGCCCTCAAATTGACAGTTCAAGCTCAAAAACAGAACCTTTTAAATTTTACAGTACCATAAAAAATTTCAATTTCCCTCTAAAATGTTTGAGAAAAAGCTGCATTTATAATTCTTGCCTCATTCAGATACAATATAACTGCATTTGAATTCAGTAATATGATTTGGGGATCATTGGGGACTGCATAGCACCCACTGGTAATGCAGTCAACTGCTGCACAACAGACTTAATAAGACTCAGTCTGTTGTGTGAAAAGTCTGTTATGCAAATTTAATTTTTTTAAAATCAAAATTTACTTTTTACCAATAATTTTAAACCAACAGAAGTCTATTATGCAGAAGTAGTCCATTTTGCAGGAAGGGAAACTGCATCCAGAGGTAGTCTGTTGTGAGGGATGTCCATTATGCAGGGGTTGACTGTAATACAGTACAATATAATTTTACTCCCATGTCCCAAAAAACCGGTGCTTTGCTCCCAGCAACTCTCACCAAAGAACTTGCCCACAAAATTCTTGGAAACTTGTGTCAAGATGGGCACCATCACCTTTGATTTTAACACGTTTTTATTAACTCGCTTTCTTGTCCATTTATTTGTCCAGATCAAATTTTGCAACTCAAATTTTGCTCACTTCCCAACTAGCTAAGGTTTTTTAGATTAATTTTTTAATCTACTATAATTATTAACCTTCTATGCCCAATCAGAAAACCTAAAAAAATCACAATCTTCACCAAGACCAAGTTTAACACAACCCTTCCTCACCAATGCAAAAAGCCTCAAAAACGTGAAATCATTATCACATGCTCATTCAGAATCTCATTCCCATTCTCAGCTTTCTGCTTAAACGAATTCTCTGAGAAATTGTGTGAATTATTGGTTCTGCTGTGTATTTATCTTGAAGAAGATGCTGAGTTGTTGATTCTTTCCAGACCTAAAAAAATATCAATACGTTTGGAGCCTCTATAAAGAAGCTCCCAGCAAATCCCATGCTGATTGTGATGTTTTACTTATACTGTAAAATATCTTTGTCTGGGAAAATTTTCAACTGGGATGAATTTACCTGATTCTCTTTTCGGCGAGTTGCAATGATACCCTTGACCAGTTCAGCAAAGAAAAGCACTTCTTCAGCTGGAAACACTTGCACTCCAAGTTTAGTGACCCAGGGAAACATCACTGAAAATGAAATTTCAGGGAATAATTTGAAATTTTTTCTATCATAAAAAGATTCAAGACTTGTCAGCCTTGCATGAAATTTTAACCAAAAGAACTTTGTGAAATCCATAAACTAACAATAAAAATTTTGCCAAAATCTGCAAAATCTTCGGATATTTTGGAAGGCAGGACAATTGAGCGTGTTTCAAAACGTCTCGTGGTCCAAAACAGCCCATGTCTAATTCTGAAGAAATTGCAGAAAATAATCCAGTGCGCAAAAAAAAAAAACGCTTTACAGCACCTTGATGCAGCATATAGTTATGTACTAAAATCTTGTTACAACAAAATCTTGCAACAAAAGTGGAATAGATTTGTTGTAACAAGAAATTCGTTAAAAAGTAACTCGTTCAACTTTGTGGTTATATTGGATCAGAAACCTGAAAACCGATCTTTTTCTACAGGCGATTATTCCTTATAATTATATTTTACCTGTGCTAGCTTTTGCTGCGATTATTTTCAAATTTAGAAAATGTGCATCATTATTGATATCACCGAACTTTAAAATAACTAATATGGTATTTTAAACAAAAACAGTTGAGGCAACGAGTTTATTTTTGGACACGCGATATTTTTTGCATTCGCTATTTTAGGACGTGCTCAACTAGTTTCAGTATCTTTCAAAAGAATTGCTCAATCGTATTTTTCACTATATGCAATCAAATAGAAATTTTCGAAGATATTACGTGGGATGAGGAAAAATGCTGTCGTCATTCTTGGAGCTCGGAAAACTTTCTGGCTTTTGATGATGAAAGGATTGTTGGGATCGTCCAAAGCATCGATTTTCGTTCCAAAAGCGCAGCTTGCAATTATGTCCATTGTGTAAACGCCGAAAAGTCTAGATTTGAAACGATAAATTCCATCAGCTTATATTTTTTTCTGCAAATCCATTCTGTATATGGATACGAAGCATGCTTCATTCGCCGAAATTGGTGCTAAAAATTCTCGTACAATATTGAATTCCATGTCTCAGATTTGTCTAAAAAGGCTGAATTTTGAAATATATCAAACTTTTTAATCCATGAGAAACTTACACAGTAACGTTATGAAGTGACGCGTCAGCGTAATTTTCAGTTGTCTCATGATACTAAAAAAATTCGAAATAATGATGCAGTACAAAATTTCATCCAGTGAGGGAATTTTTTTAAAACTTTTGATTCAAAATGTTCTCCAGGATTAAAGAAAAATATTGTACTTTTCTCCAACTTAGGATTTTTAAATTGCCAGTGCTCAGTGGCACACAATTTTGCAAAAATATCAGGACTTCGCCGCACAAGGGTTAAATAAATTGTGTTCAAAACGCACACATTATAGAATGAGCAGCGAATTAACCATATACTGAAAACATGATTCAGAAGAAAATAATGTACTGTAGTGTAAAACTCAGTCTTACATTCGGAAAAATTATTATTTCCATTCTCAAAACCTTGAAAAAAAAAAAACTTGAGGCACATCATTTAGTCCGAGACGTTTTATATTCGATGGAATGCGTATAGTTGTTATGTAAATTTTTCATTTTCAAAAAGCAGAAAATTCAAAAATTTGCAGCTTACTCTTTGAGTTCAATGATCCCTTTGTTTTTTGCAGCCCTGTCTTCGGTTACCTTCACCAAGCTAGTGCAGCATTCTTCCATCAGTCTCGACATCTGGTGAACAAACAGAGAATTAATGAATCTCGCAGAACACTATTTTTTTACAGTACAGTACTATATTTCCAAATTTATTGCCATTTTTTTGGCTAATTACCCGCTTGATTTTACCCGAGGAGAAAACAGGAGACACGCCACTGCGAACATCTTTCCAATCTTGACCGTGAAGCACAGAGAGAAACTTGCTCACGTACTTTTGGTTTTCTGGGATCAAAGCCTGAAAGATTAATTTTTCACAGTTGAGAGAAAAATTCAATGAAATATTTTTTAAAGGTAATTTATACCCGACGATCGACGAAATTGTCAAAGTCCTTGATGGTGATGGCCTTGATGATTTCGGGATCCGCTGCCACGTAAACTGGGTTCTTTCCTTCAAAAGTCCTGCATGTCAACGTACCAGAAAATGTGAATAAGATCTTAGTACAGTATTTATCCCTTATAGATAGTTAAATCTTGAAGTACAATGTTGAAAAATTACATCGTCATTATTCTCACACTTCACGCTTTTTTCCCCCACAATGATTCGTGTGTACAGTACATTTAAAATCATCCGTATTCTTTTTTCATTTTTTTCTCTTCTATAAGTAACGTTATAAAGTCGGAAAAAACGAATTCTGGTTTCAAATATATTTGCACGAATGTTATAAACAGGATTTTCGGTACCGCATATTGGCCGTGAAAAAATAAATTGCAATCGATTCAACAGCCATCATATATTTTTCGTTGGGCTGGTTAATAAGCAAACAGACCTTTTGAAGACACTTGCAGATAAAACATATGGCAGAGAACAATTTTGGAACTTCGATGCGACGTTTCTCATAGTTTTAGATCATGTTTTTTTTAGCAGAAATATTTCTTTGTGGATTGCGCTCCACTCTATTCCGGTGGAACAAAAGAAATGTGATGCAGTCAGAAACACTCACCCGTAAAGACTTCCGTGTTTCTGAAGTCGGTCTACTTCAATTTTCAAATTATCCTGGATTAAAAATAATTCAAACAAAGAGAATTAATAAATGTCAAATTTTGCATACTCTCGAAAAAAAAAAAAACTGGAACTTACCCGCTTCCAGATTTTCCAAATGTTCCCGACCAAAGGCAGGACGGGTTCAGCAGTTGGGATTCCCTGCTTTGCAAAAAAGTCAAATCCGAAGAAAACGTAGTGCACTAACCACGCCAAAAAAGTGGCTGTGAGAATCCATGCCAACGGGATTTCTAGCCCGAACAGCAGCATTTTTCAGTCGTCAAAATAAAAATAAAAAATCTCGGATTCTTCTGCGAAGAACAATTTTGAACGGAATAAAATATTTATCCGAAAAAGTGCGCGGGTGTTTCAAGAGAATTTTCTTGCAATATATAAAGCGTTTTTTGCGTAATTTGCACTGTTTGATGTATAGAATTTGACACGAGAAAATCTTACCAAATCCATAAACTTGATGAAATGAGTTTGCAATACACTAGCGACTTCATTTGTGATAAATGGCACAAAACTGTTTCCCACTACCAGAAATGCTGAGAATATTCAGGACTTTTTGCAATATATACAAAATTAGATTCGCATAAAAAAAATGTCTAGAACTTATTTTTGAAAAATTGCCCAAATATCACATGATTAAAGGTAGCCAAATGAATAATTTATATTAGAATTAGAATTTGCATGCGCCATTTGTTTTGGTGGTCTTTAAAACTATTTTTTTACGATTTTTGAGCAAGAAAATTTTTTGGAAAATTGTTAATAAATAAATCAAGGAGGCGGACGCAGAAAAAAGGTTATGAATTTTGAAGACATTGTTGCTTAATAATTTTCAGGATTCTTCAGAATAACTAACTTCTTTTCGAAATAAAATATTTTTCATACTGCTGCAGGCATTTACAATTTTTTTTGAACATATTGTGAAAAACGTCTCTTATCCACTACAACGCTTGAATTCACTGTTATAACACATTTTGGAAACAACATTCGCCATGATTCGAAATCAAAATTCAAACAATCACAACAAAATCAGAATCGCAACTTTTAAGGATGAAACACTGGTTTTAGCTCGACTCGCAAAATTCTCTTGTTTTTAAATAATGTGCCTCGGAATCTTGCAGCGTAATTTATTTTATATCTTATCAAGATTCACAATTTGTTTCGGGAAATAACTTAAAGCCCTCATGATTAATTTTGCGTCCTTTATTTGTTATTGTCAGGTTTCAAAACGGGAGTCCGAGATAAGCTTTAATGCAAAATCACTTTCATGCATCAGCCAAATCTTGTCTTTAAACAAGTACCGATGATTAAAATTATTAATTTTTATCCCCAGCATGTAGAATTTTACCTTTTCAATGAGAAAGTGTTCAAAACTGTTGTTTCAGGAATATTTATTGAATTTTTTGCGAAATGTTGAAACTTATAGTCATTTGTCAAATTCACGTTTCACAAGAAAATTAGTTCAAAAAACGGGCGACTATGTCTAGCATTTTGATTTTTCAAAGAAATTGAAACAAGAATCACTCAATTTTTTTCCATCGCACATTTGCCAAAAATGAAAAGACCACTGACTTTTTTTATTGCTAGCTTTACAATCTTGCATTATCTTATCACATCCAACCAATTTGTATATCGCCCCCAACGGAGTGAGATAAATATTTATCTTTGCTGTAAATCTCCAGAGACAGGATTCAGTGGAGCAGAAATAGATTTCAAAATAAACTGAGATCATGTATGAAGAGATGAATGGCTGTTTTTAAAAGTTGAATGAGTGTCAGTAGAGTACTGTATAGTTCATCAACTTTTAACTGCTTCCTTGACTTGCAATTTTTTGATCTATCATCCATATTTTTATTATCAATCATTCCTGCTGTATATTTGTGATGAAATGGAACTTGTTATTGTAGGAAAAGATGAACGTCTTGCTCTAGTGAGCAAAAATTTGTTTAAATACAGTCAAACCTCTGCGAGATAAATTTCATGCGGCCAACAAAAAAATTCAACTTATAGGGAGGTTTTGAGTTACAGATGTTTGAATAATAGAACCAAGCATTTTTGTTGCAGGAAACATGGAACAATTGGATCTAAATTGTAAATTTAAATATTCTGAACATTAAATTTTCTCTGAAATAAATTGACAGGATGCTGAATTTGGAGGCAGGGGTTCATTTGCCCACTCCAGTTTGTCAAGTCCTTTCAAAATGCGTCAAATTGCATTTTATTGCTTTTTTTCCTCAGTCAAGAAAATAATAACCCAAAGGCCTCATAAACTTAAATTTAGGGAGCAGGTTTTTAATGGATGGTTTCTAAAGGAATTCAGATGGGGAGCTGGAAAAAATTTTGACTTGTGGAGGTATTTGACTTATAGGGAGGTTCAACTTATCAAGATTCAGCAGTTTATCCAAAACACCTCAAAAAGGGGTCCAATTTTCCTCCAAAAGTTCTCCAAAGAGCCTTGGTTCAATTTCTTGCAATGTTGTTGGGGAAACGCCACGCGAAATCCGGTCATCACATAAAAAACCGCGCCGCACGCCGAACACAATAAAAAACCAATACAGAAAAAACCGCGCGAAAATCTTGATAAGAGTTCCAACCCTCAAAGGGAAGGAACTCACCAAAACCAGAAATTGATTTCCGTTTCCCAAATTCACGAGAACTGTGAAACCTCACTTTGAATCGAACCTTTGAACTGTGTGCATCTGAAAAAATCGCAAATTCTACGAAACTTGTGAAGTTCTGCTGAGTGTTGTATCATTGAAAAACTTATTATTTGCTTATTAATTTGTGGGACAAATTGAAATAAACTTTCAATTTAAATCAGGGAAACCGAAAGGTTCCCCGGCCTCGTCCCAGGCTGATTCTGTCTTTTATTTTAACAAAATTTAGAAACTTCACTTTACAAATTTGATCCATTTGTAAAACTAAACAAATTTATGTTGAGGTAAGTTCTTCCCCAACAAATGTTGAACAAGATTTTAATCCTTATTCCAGTATATAAAAAGATAACCTGGGATTTTTGGCTGTTGAAAATTTGTGAAAACCCTTTCCCATTCTGTAGATTATAATAGAAGATAAACACTTGATTGTGTTTTTGGGTGAAATACAGATAGTTGAAAAGCTTATCTATATGATTCACTGTATATGATTCATAAAAATGAATTCAGGCATGCATGATGAATTGATACTTTAAATTTCATAGTATACATGGCAGAGCTATGATAATTTTCAAAGTTTACATGCAAACTTTTTGACTTCATTTGATTGTGGTTCTCCTATCCGCTCTCACTCATTGTAATTATTCTGCTCATTTAAAATTCACCAACTACACAAAGAGAAATGATTTGTGTTCATTTTTTCACTAATAAACTTTTCAAACAAGAATTTAAAAAAAGAATTAAAGACTGCCTTGAAGACAATGTATCTCATCCCTTGTTTTTCATCTAAAATTATTTTTAAAAAACAATTGCTAATGAAATCCAATTCGAATTTCGTCAAAATTCACTGCTTCATTCTACAGTCCAATAAGTGATTAAATTTCTTGTGGATTAGGTGGGAACGTAGGACTGAAGTTTAATGTAGCAGGAAATTCGGTGAGGATACTATTTTATAGTAGGTATTTAAAAAACAAACAGGTTTTTCTTTTCCTTGGCCTTGGCTACGCCATTAAAGCCCAAATTACTATTTACTTTTTTAGGGTTAAACCGGATTATTTCATTCGTACACTACTGTAGTCCTAAACTTGGAATCATCCATCCTCACCTTTCATTTTAATGAAAGTCAGCCAAATCAAATAATCATAATGGCCAATTTGACGTACAAAAATCGGAATATATCCCTGCTGCGACCATGAAAAAAAAAAACTCTTAACAACGTGCTGCAAACGTCAAGCTCACTGAAAATGAATCACTAACTCGCCATCAATCAGACACTAACTGATTTATTTCTCAGCATTCATCATGCAAAAAATGAGCAAAATTCTAAAAAAAAATAAATGCCTGAAAGCTGCAAACGTCAAGCTCACTGAAAATGAATCACTAACTCGCCATCAATCAGACACTAACTGATTTATTTCTCAGCATTCATCATGCAAAAAATGAGCAAAATTCTAAAAAAAAATAAATGCCTGAACAGTTTCAAATTCTTCGGGCACTGACAACGAATCACTAACTCATCATCAATCAATCAGACACTAAATAATTTATCACTCAGCATGCAAAAATTGCGCAAAATCCTCACAAAAACATAAAAGTGCCTGAACAGTTTCAAATGCAGACGCCAAAAATAAATGCATTTGCGACGCAGAATCCGCGCACAGGGGCACTGGCGTCATGCGGGACTCCAGCAGCCTATTCAACCCAAATGCTTCTCCATACCCCTAAAGGCTGACAAAAGGATTCAAAAGTACAGTATAAATGAAAAAATAAAATAAAATGGGTGAGGGCATGACATGAGGGGCACAGGGACAGAGGAGAAGGAAAGAAACACAGAGACTCAGAGAGAGAGAATGAGTAAATATACCAGGAAGTAAACACCCCTCCCTCCCTCCCACACACCTACACACACATACCCACACAGGCTGGGCGTTTATTTTTTTCATTCTCTCTCCTTTCCCTAACTTGCACTAATGCTGCTCAACTCTCATGGAGAATGAAGCACAGGCAACTTCATAAAATTGTCCTTGAGAAAAAAAGGGGGAGGAGGAAAGAAGAGGAATGTGTCATTCACCCACAGCAGCTGTTTCTACAGAATATTGCAAGTATCTTTCATTATAAAATTCTCAAATCAATTCCCAAGTTCACTCTACAAAGTGTGTCCTCACATATTTAATTAGCAGATGTGATATGTTCCATGGAATGCTTTCTTCTGCCAAGTTTCATTTTATTTAAGGTAAAACAACTTTCAAGCAGGTTTCTTTTTTTTTTTTAAAGGAGTTTCTTTTTGCAAGTCAACCTTACACTGTACATACAAAAGTGTTTCTGCTAAAATTATTTTTGCAGTGTACAGATGAGAGAGAATATACAGTGTTCTGCACTAAACAGTTCAAGCATTGTAGAATTGAAAGGTTTTCCAAGTCTCTCTGATAAATGAAAGAGAGTCATCTTGGAGTTGAATGAAATGAATAAGAAAAAAGAAATATTCGTTTTTAGAAGAGCGTCAAGGACTTTTGTACACTACCATACAGGGTATTTTTGGGTGCAGCACCAAGATGCTTGAGCATGAGCAGCTTCTGGTTCCCCTGTCTGTTTTTGCTGCATATGCTTCCTTTCATGACTAAGCTATTTTGATGAGCTTGATTATTCCTTCAA